CCCACCCCCCCGTTCCCTGGCCTGCCTTTGAGTCTCTGCAGACACCAGTGAGAGCGGCTGACTGTCTTGCTGTAGCAAGCTCTGAATGAATAATGTGTTTGTCTTCATCTGGGTGGTCTTGGTTAATTTCCACAAGGTAGGCGTGTAGTCTGGCCTCACTTCCCACATCTGTAAAATGGGCATAATAGAACTATCTATTTGATGAGTTGATTGTGAGGACTAAATAAGGCATTAATGCACGGGAAGCACTTAGCTCAGTGCCTGGCACATAGTAGAGGCTCAATAAATGTTAGCTGAGGGCATGACCCAGCCCAGCTGGGAGGCGGAGAAGCTGAAGCTGGTCTTGCAGGGGCCAGGGCATCTGGCTGACAGTTTCTTTTCTTTAATTGAAACGTAAATGACATTCAATAATATACTGTTAGTTTCAGGTGTACATCAGAGTGATATGATATGTTTCTACACTTCGATATGGTCCCCACAGTAAGTGTAGTTACTATCTGTCACCATACAAGGTATGACAGTATTACTGACTGTAGGGGCGCCCAGGTGGCTCAGCGTTTAAGCACCCGACTTCGACTCCCGTCACGATCTTGTACTTCACGGGTTTGAGCCCTGCGTAGGGCTCTGCACTGACAGTGAGGAGCCTGCTTCAGATTCTCTGTTCCCCTCTGTCTCTGCCCCTCCCCCCCTCAAAATAAATAAATATTCAAAAAATGTATTATTGATTATATTCCCTGGGCTGTGTGTTACATCCTCAGGACGTATTTACTTTGTAACCGCAAGTTTGTACCTCTTAACCCCCTTCACCCCCGGCTGACACTTCTGTGTCCATTCCGGGAGGCTCTGTGCCCCTGCTCCCTCCTGTCTCATTTCTCTGGTGGCCTTTAAATGTGTCTGGAGAAAGAAGGCACCGGTGGGGAGCATGGGAACTGTCCACCAGATGCCCTGCTCTGCCTTTGTCTGGCCTTGCTCTAGAATGTGAGCCATGGACCTGGATGGCCGCTCTGTGTATGGTGAGGTGACACCCTCCTATCCTACTTCTGAACAGGCCACCAGCACAATGACACATGCACTGAGTCACCCACACTCTTTCTCAGGCTCCCTTGGGAAGGACATATTCTGGAGATGGACGGCGTGCCAGGGGCTGGTCAGGGAGGGACTGGGTTCAGTTTGTGGCCATGTTAGGGCAAAGTTGACCTGTGTTTGGGAGAGCTCTCCACTTCCAGCAAAACCTGTCAATAAAAGCTCTCGGGGGCGCCTGGGTGGCTTAGTCGGTTAAGTGTCTGGCTTCAGCTCAGGTCACGGTCTCATGGTTCACGGGTTCGAGCCCCGCATCGGGCTCTGTGCTGACAGCTCAGGGCCTGGAGCCTGCTTCCGATTCTACGTCTCCCTCTCTCTCTCTCTGCCCCTCCCCAGCTCATGCTCTCTCTTTCTCTCAAAAATAAATAAACATTTAAAAAAATTTGTTTAAAAAGTGAATTAAAAGTTCTTTCATAAGCACGCAGCTGGTATGTCAAAAGGTATTATTGTAACCCAAGAGCGGAAGAGGAAGAGAGCACCTGAGGCCTTGAGGCCAAGTGAGAAAAAATGAAAGACACGGAACAGCCGCTCACAATCCTGACTGGGCTTCAGAATCATCTGTGAAGCTTTAAATACATATTCCTGGGCCCTACCCCATATGTGGTGACTCAGACTCTGCCAGAATGAGACCCAGAAATCTGCAATCTTTTTTCTTCAATGTTTATTTATTTATTTTGAGAGAGAGAGAGAGAGAGGGAGAGAGAGAGAATCCCAAGCAGGTCTCATGCTGCCAGCCTAGAGCCCAACATGGGGCTCGATCCCAGAAACCATGAATTATGACCTGGGCTGAAATCAAGAGTCAGACGTTCCATTGACTGAGCCACCCAGGTGCTCCAAATCTGCAATCTTTTAAAAAGTTTGCCAGGGGCACCCGGGTGGCTCAGTCAGTTGGGCATCTGACTTCAGCTCAGGTCATGATCTCACGATCCGTGAGTTCGAGCCCTGTGTTGGGTTCTGTGCTGACAGCTCAGAGCCTGGAGCCTGCTTCGGATTCTGTGTCTCCCTCTCTTTCTGCACTTCCCCTGCTCACACTCTGTCGCTCTCCCTCTCTCTCTCTCAAAAATAAACATTAAAAATATTTTTTTTCAGTTGCCCAAATTGGTGCAGCCACGGTGGAAAACAGTATGAGGTACCTCAAAGAATAACAATGGAACTATTAATTCAGCAATTCCACTCCTGGGTATTTCTCCAAAGGAAAGGAAAATACTAACTTTTTGTTTTCATTAACTCTCAAATAAACATTTTATCAGATTCGATCTCAAATTTTTAATATATATATATATTATTTTATTATAATAAGAATAGAATGTCAAAACAGGGCATAGATACTACACACACATATAGAAAATTAGTTGTTGATAGAAAATGTTTACACTGGAATAACAATCAAAACGAAAATTTCGTTTTGCCTGTTTTCCATTTATTAAAAAGGTCTTCATGTTGTGAAAATAGTTCCAACTTCTTTTCTAAACTTCTAGCCTAGCAACAAAATCAGTATATGTCTCCTATTGGCACAAAATAAAATATTTGACACATCAGATGACATACAATGACTACAACAGTAATTTTACCATATAAGGATTTACCTCACTCTGAGGCACTTCACGCACGAAAACTGTTCATTTGTTTCTTTTTTTTTTAACTTTCTTTTTTCTTTTTTAAAATTTACATCCAAATAAGTTAGCATCTAGTGCAACAATGATTTCAGGAGTAGATTCCTTAATGCCCCTTACCCATTTAGCCCATCCCCCCTCCCACAACCCCTCCGGTAA